ATTATAATTCCAGCGTTGTGGTACAGATACAATGGGAGGCTAATCGATGCCCGGGTGCGGTCGAGAGATGGCTCCCTATTGGTAAACCATGTTACATATTCTGATAATCTGGTGATTGCTGCTCACTCAAAGTCGGAGTTGGAGGCGCTGCTGCTGAACCTGGAGTGTGCCACTAAGAGGAGGAGTTGGAGGCCCTGCTGCTGAGCCTGGAGTGTGCCATTAAGAGGTTTTACCATCAGCCCCACAAAAATAATCACCTGCATGTGTTTTTTGTGCTACCAAACACTCCACCCCCTCAGCTCCCCATCGGTGGTGGAGCAGTTGTGGAGAGAGTGGAGAGTTTTGCATACCTGGGCAGTGTTTATGACCAGTTACGGTTTGACTGCAGAGGTCTCCGAATCAGTCGGGCGGCATTATCTTTTCATGTGCTGCGCAATGCTGTGTGGAAACTACCTAGTCTGTCGCTCTGCACAAAGCTTCGGGTCTTCTCGGCCACAATCATGCCCCCCTTCTCTATGCTTGTGAAACGTAGACCCCTCTAATGGAACATCTGCACCGGTTGAAAACATCCAAGCTGGCATGCCTACAATCCATCCTGGGTTTATCCAGGCTGGATTGTGTAAGGAGCTCAGAAGTCCTTGAAAGATCTGGACACATTCCCGTCAGTGAGCTCCTCTGGCAGGCAAAGCTTCATTGGCTGGGTCATGTGGCCCGCATGCCCAGCCACCGCATGCCCAAGCAGCTTTTGTTTGGCCGCATATAGGAGGCTAAATGGACATAACATGGGCTGGAGAAAAGATGGACTGATGGTGTCGTTGAGGATGTAGAGCTTAGGTGTACTTGCCGACAACTGGTACCAGCGGTGTCAAAATCGGCCTCTATGGAGGAGGCTCGTGATGGACGCTACTGAGCAATTGGAGACAGTCACCCTCCAGCAACAACAGGCGGCAGAGGAGCGACGATCACAACAATGAGCGGAGCGCCGGGCGACTAAAATGCAGCAAATTGACACAGTAGGGGGTACAGCTGGTGCATCTGCCAGTCATCTCAGTCAGCCAACCCATGGCACCTGGGTCTGTCCCGTGACCTGTCAGCGAACCTTCGACACTTCACATGGCCTCAAAGTGCACCTGGCCTGGCACAGGTGCCGTGGTAATGTCACCGTCACTTCGTGGTGAATGCCGGGTATTGTTATTGGTGTATTGTAATCTATAGTGCATTGTGGTTTGTATAGCACAGTGTGTAGTGCACTAGTGTGTACAGTGTGGCGCTGAGTGTGCGTGTGTGTGGTGCATGCTGAATGTGTAAGTATTGCAGGCTATGTGTACGTGTGGGCCGTGGTGGTGTGAGTGGGGGGTGTCTATGTAGATAGATCAGTACGTGCGAGAGGCTAGTAACCCCTCAACCTGGCACTTTCTCTACCAAGCACCATGGTGGAACACCGAAATAAGCTCGTGCTAGAGACCATGGGGACAAGCGTTCGTGATCCCTTGTGGCCAAACTCCATCTGGCAGAACCAGACTGAACCCCCCTCTCAGGGTTCCTCTCGGACAGGGATAGGGAACGTCCGGCCCGCGGGCCGTATAAGGCCCGCAAAATAATTTCGTCTGGCCCTGCCAAGGCAACCGCAGGCGGGACTCGAAATTAAATAAATCTAGGAGCAAACCTGGAAAAGCAGTTGCGAGTAGCAACATCATCAATACCAGCTAACATCACACGCCTCACCAAAGAGAAGCAGTTCCAGCCATCACATTAGGGGTGAGTTATTTAAATGTTTGACCAAATATAACAGGATAATTTTTAAGTTGATAATTTTGTATGGCCCGCGAATGATGTTATAAATATCCAAATGGCCCTTGGCAGAAAAAAGGTTCCCCCACCCCTGCTCTAGGAACAGAAGACTGAGATTGGCCACGTGGAATGTTCGGACTCTGGTTGCGGGGGGGAGGCTGCCACTACTCTGCCGGGAGATGGACCGGTACTGCTTGGACCTCTGTGGAATACAGGAGGTCCGGTGGACCGGTTCTGGATCCAGTCATCATGAGGAGTGGACAGTTCTTCACTCACGTGGCCTCAAAGTGCACCTGGCTTGGCATATGCGCCATGATGATGTCACCTTCACTTAGTGGCGAATGGCGGGTATTAGTGTGGGGAGCGGTAGTGTAGCAGTGAGCATGCTACCCTACAAAAGCGGCGACCCGAATTTGATTCCTGTTCATGGCCAACATCAGTGACGATTATCTGCACCGCCCCTGGGCCTCTCCTAGGTCACTAAGCCTCAAATTAGTACCTGGTGTGTGTAAACATCGCCACTGGGGAGACAAAGGCAGCCGGGCATAGTGCTAGCCATTCACCCCTTGTGTACCATACTGGCCTTAGGCACTGCTTTCTAACAGTACTTACTCAATGGTCTGTTAAGGCTATATGGAGGATCGTTGTCAGGGTGTGTACGCTTGCCCAGTGTGTGTGTGTCTGTCTTTGTGTGTGTGTATTTGTGCTCATGCGGGAATACCCCATGTGTGTGCAATTGTGGTTACTCATTGCGTCCTTTCCGACAAGCAAGCCAGCACCAGGCCTCAAGGTAAGTGAAGATAAAACAGATTTTTTTTTCTATTTATGTTACGTCATTTTATGTTTTATTTACTATACAATATTTTTTGACTGTTACATGCACATGTACAATATTTATTCTTATTTACGAGTTTAACAATGCTTCCCTTTCTTGAACCGTGATACATTTCAAAACACTGACCGTATGGGCATTTAAATACAGTCCGGGGTTCTCCTGGCTGCCATACAGCATGTTGTGACGGGAGACAGCCCTGAGAATCGCATAGCTCTTGGTGCATCACTCTTCCTGCCAAATATTTCTTGTCACATGATGAATAACCATGGGAACTGCTATCTTGGGTTCTTTGGGGTCACTATTCTCCAGTGACCGAGCACTAGGAGTGAATCAATTGTGATATCAAATAGCGTTGCCTGTAGCCATGGCTCCATACATTCTAGCACAAGACAGCAGTGCTCACAAAGGCTTTGTTTCCAACAATATGTTATCTGCTCCCTATGCTGAAGGATCAGGCGTAAGCTGAAGCTCCAGGAATAGGAGCACGGCCTCAGATGTCTGAGCCAAAGGCATTCTTCAGGGTTCAAACATCGAGAAATTACTATTTGCCCCTCCTGGAGTCCTTAAAGCAAAAAATAAGGCAGGAGTCGGTTGAACCAGCCAAGCAAGTCCTTCCACCAAACGAGCAAACTCACAGCATGATAGGCACTGGACGAACTCATTATTTCTGGCCGGGCATGATGGCAGATATTCGCGCATGGTTGGCCTCATGTGTAGAATGTGTGCGGCGGAAACCGCCAGCACACCCGGTCAAAGTTTCCCTACAGCCAATCGAGATTTCGCGGGTCAATGAGTTGGTGGTCCTGGATATATTGGGATACCTACCTTGTAGTGACAGAGGTCACAAATGTCTGCTAGTAGGGGTCGAATATTTCAAGTGGTGGCCGGTGGCGTGGTCCCTGGCAAATCAAACTGCTCAGTCAGTAGCAGAAGCTTTTGTGCATGGATATGTTATGGACAAAGGGGCCCCTTAAAAACTTCTAACAGAACAGCATAGAAACATTTCCTCGAAACTGATACAGGAAGTATGTGACATCCTAGGCACCAAGAAAGTACGCACTTCTCCACACCACCCACAAACCGATGGGATAAATCACACCATCACTTCCATGCTATGTCAGGTGGTCAATGAGACTCAGACGAACTGGCACTTATACATAGGCTGGATCCTGGCGGAATAGCGGCTAGCCCCGCATGCATCGACAAGATACAGCAGTGGGAGACGGTGAGGGAGGCGGCATGAGCCACGGCGGCTTCCGCCCATTCTGTGAATGAACGGGCTATGCCAAAGGGAGTGATGCCCCTAACTTTCATAGTGGAAGATAGTGCATGGCTACACTGCCGACAGGTCCCCTTAGGGACCTCGCCCAAACTGCACCTGTCCGTGGCAGGGTCCTGTGAAGGTCGTGGAGATTCTCAGGCCTCAATGTATACTTGTCCAATTGGGACGCCGGCGATGATATGTACAACCGGTCAAAGCCTACTGCGGACATGCCACTAAACTTGGAAGAGCACCCACTACACTCACCAAAAACTGGTTTACTGCGAACACATACACCTTCACCTCTTCACTCACCATCATCACTGCCGAGGTCGGGGAAGTCACTTTCCGCGACTAACCAACCTCAAGAAGGTTGCCTTCCTTCTCCAAGACCAACGACAAGGTGCAGCAACATCTGACCAAGCCGAACCTAAATGTCCTGGTTACCCGGGCACGGACCCGGGCAATGCTCCCACAGTGATGAACAATCACCGCATGCTAGACCACGGAACCGCAGATGAAAAGGACATTGTTCTTTCGTGCCAGAAGTTGTTCGCTAGTTGCTCGCATGTTACGGTTGGAGGGTCCGGTTGAACCCCTTGTAAGCACCGTCTTGTTTTACGGTTCTTCATTTATTGCTGTCTTAAATTCTGTTCTGCATAAACATACATTCCATACCTATACACAAAGTGACAGGACTCGGGTTGAGTTAGAAATTGCTTGTTATTGACCAACAAAAGTGTTTTTTTCGACTAGCAGGGCTACCCTGAATCCCTTGTATTCACATGGGCTGTGTTTAGTCGAGGACAACTTTTTCTTCGGGTTGGGGGGAGGGGTGATGTATTACTGATACTTACGTGATTCGAGGGTAGAAATACTTGCGTAATCCAAGGGTACAGTGTCAGGAAGACGTCACCGGGAGAGGCGGGGAAATCGGAGTAGGGTGGACGCGTGTGGCATGAGTTCGCGTGGAATAAAGAAACGTGTTGACGAAAGCCTGGTGGACCCTCTACAAATATATACACATGCGGTATTAGAATTAGGGACAATGTTAATTTGGTGAGTTAACTTGTACTGTCTTATTTGAACCATGTTTGTTATATTTGTTTGCAGGGCTCACTGAAGGAGTTGGATCTAAGTGGAAATTGTTGGCGAATGTACCATCAAAACTTACCATCCACTCACTGCAACCATAAATTCACCATTGAAGAAGATGCTTTCGTTGACCTGCTGAATTTAACTTCACTCAGTCTGAATAGAAACAGCCTCATACTCGTTCCCAAAAAGCTGCCACAAAGTCTGAAAACGCTATGGCTGGAATTCAACCACATTACAACTTTAAGCAGCGGAGATTTTTATGGCTTGCACAATCTTCAAAATTTACACTTGTGTTGTAATTGTTACTTGTCAAACGCTTGCTACAAATCGTTCAATATATCACACGATGTTTTTACCCTACCAAATCTCACTTTTCTAGATGTATCTAGTAACAATCTAACAGATGTTAAGCTGAATCTTTCAACAACAATACGAAATCTCGTCATTGGCAACAATGACATTAGGAAATTAAGAAGACAGCATTTCCATGGCATGATGCACTTGGAATCCCTGGATGTGGCCTTGAACTGCCCACGATGCATCACTGCATCCTTCCCCTGCAAACCATGTCCAAACAATGGACCACTAGATATTGACACGTTTATTTTTTCTGACATGCCACTTTTAACCCACATAGACTTAGCTAGCACATCACTCAAGAAGATCCCACCCCTGCTGTTTGAGAACAACACTCACATGACATATTTAGATCTGTCATTTAATTATTTGGGTGGTGAAATTGAAAATGGCATATTTCTAAATTACCTGCAACGAATAGAGCATTTAAATCTATCCTTTAATTATTACTTTCAAAAGTATCCAGTCGAGCTGAAACTTTCATCAAATTTTGCCAATCTCACTTCTTTAAAAGAACTTATTTTGACGGGTCTTATTTTTCAGTATCTGGGTATAAACAATTTAAATCCTCTGAAAACCCTCCTAAATCTAACGTCCATAAATTTATCACTTAATTTCATTAAGCAGGTAAATATTATGGCATTCAAGGGACTTTCACAATTAAATGAGATAATTCTCAGTGAAAATCTGATTTCACCAGAAAACAATGCAGGCTGTCTTATTCCAAAACCAGATGTATTTGTGAACACTGTGGAAAAGAATGAAGGCAGTGTTTTGTTCTTGATATCAAAACACGACAAAAAAGTCGGTGTTCCACAATGTAAGATGTATAACAAAGTCTTAGACCTCGGCAACAATAGTATTTTTTTCATACAAAAAAAATACTTCCATGACATGGGGAACATTGAATGCCTAGTTTTGAGCAGAAATTTTATAAACCAGGCATTAAATGGCACTGAATTTAGCAATCTCCCAAAACTTAAATACCTTGACCTTTCTTATAATCGAATAAGTTTGGTTTTCAACACTGCTTTTTCAGAGTTGCCTTACTTAGAGGTGTTGGATCTCAGCTATAACCAGTATTACTTTTCACTCGATGGGCTTGTGCACAGCATCAATTTTATTTCTGGTATGTCTGCACTAACAGAGCTTCGCCTGGTAGGGAATGGTATCAGAAGTCTGTCGACAGACTCTCCCCTGTACAGTAACACTCTAAAAACGCTAAACTTTCAAGGAAACAGACTTGACATATTATGGGAAGATGGAAAACATTTCAACTTATTTGAAAATTTTACACAGCTGCAAAACCTTGATATGTCTCACAACAAGATAAGGTTTATTTTAAAGAACAGTGTGTTTGTGCATTTAAAAAAACTGAAAGTGTTAAACATTAGCCATAACCGACTGACACGTATTCCTTGGGATGAACTTGCCAAACTAGAACATTTACAACAACTGGACCTTAGCTACAATCATCTGACACAGTTATCAGATGTATCAAATAGTACATCCATCACAAAGCTGATAATGCGTAACAATAATATAGCTTTAATCAGTGCAGATTTTGTAAAATCAATGCGACTCCTGACTGTTTTAGATATAAGGCGCAACAATCTAACTGCAGAAAGCCAAGAAAGGTTTTCTATTCACAATATGAAACAACTCGAAGTATTGCAACTCTCTGGAAACCCATTTCTGTGTACATGCTCCAACGTATGGTTTCTGTCTTGGATCAACTCAACTACTATTATTATTCCTAAGCTGGCTACCAATGTGAAATGTAAATACCCATTGGACACATTTTCTGGAAAGAATATAGGAGTTATTTTTTCCCTGAATGAGTCACAATGTGAGTATATAACCACTGGCATGGTATTATTTTTGATATACAATGTGTTAATTATTTTATTGATGGCTACATCATTCATCTGGGTACGTTTCCGTTGGAATTTTGCACATTTGTTCAGGTCATTTTGTCGAGGAAAAGTTAATTATAGCTATGAAAACCTCAACCAAAACTCCTATGATGCGTTTGTCGCATACGACTCATCTAATGCAGATGTGTGTGAGTGGGTCCTGAAGGAAATTCGTGTTCATCTGGAAGAGAAATCAAACTACCCCTCGCGTTGTCATCTCTGTATTGAAGGACCGTGACTGGATGCCAGGGATCAGTATTTCGAACAACTTGGCGACCAGTGTCTACAATAGCAGGAAGACTGTGTTTGTCCTAACAAAAGACTACATCACCTCCGACCACTTCCGGCAGGCTTGGAGTATGGCCCAGCAGCGAATGATTGATGAGAAGAAAGATGTAATGGTGTTTGTCATATTGGAGAGGATGCCATCGAGGTTTCTATACTCACGATATATGCGCATGCGAAAGCGCCTTTGTCCAGATTCTTTTCTGCAGTGGCCACCAAATCCACATGCCCAGCATCTCTTTTGGAAATGTCTTCGGGCTGAGATTACAAAATCTCAAACAGAGCAATACTGGCAGGTAGCCCAATAAAAAATGCACGTGTTTGTTTTTGGTTGTAAACTACAGTATATGAATTTTAGCTGTGTTACAAAATCATAATAACAACACGCTTCATTGTCCTTTACGCAACCAGAGTAAAGGCAAATCATATTTGGTTGGCATGTTAATATATTTTCTTCTGATGTATTGTCTTATGATACAAGCAGGCATTTTTATGTATTTTATGGACCTATTGTTACGAGGACATATTTCATGTGCAGGTGATGGGTTCGTGTCCTTTATTTAACGCATTGTTATTCACATTTATATTCGCCAACAATAGCAGTTATGTTTTTGCTGCATTGTTGACTTTGCAGCAGTGTGCTCTGAAAACAAGAGGCAGAATAATGTTACCTCAAGGGCATGATCTACAACTGAAACGATAAGACAATTATCATTGCCAGCAATGGCTGTCCTAAAATTGTCCCAGTGGATTATGGCCTTAAGTCACGAGAACTGATGTAGGGCAAGCACTGACTGGTGATAAGGGCCGATGTACCGTATTTGTGCCCTACAAGTCAGTCTCTGAAGAGTGAAGTTAATTTAGCATTAGTAGTGGGGATCGGACTGTCGGCTTGTATAAGATATCTCAGTACTGATAATTTTGGATACCAAGTAATTATATATTTATGGGTGCCAGATAATTATATTACTCTGAAATTAAATTCTAAATGTGATTGATTTGTTTTTGTTCTGACAAGAGCCAAGTACAGAGCACGGGCAAAAACAAGGGGAGGGGATATAAAGACATTATGTGGACAGAAGCCCGGACACAGTGCTCATGGATTAGGGGAGAGGGAGAGAAATGGGCTCACTCACTGCCCTCCTTACCTTGGGACTGCGAGCGGGAATGAGAACCTTTTATGAGGGGAAGGGAAGGCAAGGGAATAGGAACAAAAGTAAGGGGGAAAGGGTGGGGTGGAAACAAATGTGATTATGTATTAAATCATTCTACTTGGTTTTGTCGTGAATTTATTTTTGTAAATAAAATGCACATATGTATGTGCTGTATGTTGAACTTATTTTGCAGCACTGTACATATCCAACCATGCTCAGGGCCGGATCATGGTCTCCTGAGGCCCCTGGGCACATGTCTTTTGGAGCCCCCCCCCCCCCCACCACTTTCCTATATTGGTGTCTTTCTTGCCTTCCTCCTTACAAAATCATCCACTAGATCGTCAAAATATAGCTGTCTGACAAGGTATGACTATTGATATAAATGACAAAAGTGACAATGATCTGAGACGTGTTTGGCACATGCTACTCCGCAGCTCATTTTTTATTCTGCCTTAAAGGGAAAATGTCCGCTCACCCTGGCAGTTTATCACTGGCAAAATTAGACAAATCCGAAGTGCCACAAAAACATTAGGGAACAATGACTGCAGATTAAGTGCCTGCAACTTCTCAAGCAATTTAGTTAGGCACTTCTCACCCTCAGTCAGACATGAAAGACTTGAATTGGATGAGTTCGTTGGCAAAGTTCATGTCCAGGTCTGATGGAAATGCAGCGGAGAGTGCATTTACCTTTTCCACGATGACATCACTGTTAGACACCTGATCTGACATAAACAGAACTCCAAAGAGACTGTCGATTTAAAGCTTTCGTGACTGCAGGGATTCATCTTCTTGGTTCTTTCGGTAAAGTCACGTAGAATGGAAATAATAAAATAATAAAAATAAAACATTATAAAATAATTCTCACAACGTTTCGACCACAACGCAAGCAGCCGTCCTCAAGTGAAGAACAGGTCTGTCGAGACTCCACCGAGCTTGCTGGAGAACAGTTTGCATGCAAAAAAGTACACAACCTGTTGAGGGTGAGTACAGTAGCCACTGTCTAGAAACCTGCCCATTTGGCAATATACAGTTCAGAAGTTCATTGTTGAAACTTCTAGTCTTGCCACCAAGCGCTCTATCTCGGACTGAAGCTGGATATTTTTCACTGCGGTTTTTGAAAGGGACTGCTCCTCTTTCACTAAGCACTGACTTAACAATTTCACTGGAAGTGCTTTGCCATAATGCAGGGTCAGTGACCTCATAGCACCATGAATGGCTTGGTTGCTGATTTGATTCTTGTGAACTGCCCAACTACTCCTGATGTGGAAATGATGGTTCTTATATACCATTAGCTGTTGAGGGTTCGCCTTCAAAGGATGGTTCTGGGGGAGTGAAACTATTACTGGAAACTGAACTAGTGCTAGTTCCTTCCTCACAGCTGTCCCAGGTCGTGAACGGTGCGGAGAGGGTTATAGCCTACGGGAGCACTGTACTGTCCCCCACAGAGCAGCATTATTGCATGACGCGCAGAGAATTGTTGGCCATAGTGCACTTCGTGCAGCAGTATAGGCCGTACCTTTACGGACAAAACTTTGACGTGCGTACGGACCACGCGGCTCTTCAATATGCCTTACGGGTTGACCAGCCTTCCGGCCAACTGTCCCGCTGGTAAGAAATTTTGCAGGACTATTTAACGGTCACCTACAGGAAGGGTGTACGTCACTGCAACGCGGATGCGCTGTCCCGGTTACCACCAAGGCACCGGTGTGTATGTCTAATGGGTGCCGGCCGATGTGAACCATCGGCTGTGGAATTTCCATGTGCTGTTGTGGCGTCTGTCAATGTTTGACCACCCGCGACAACTGCTCCTTGAGACAATAAAATTGGTCTCATGCACACTGAATGGGGACACCTCCAGGTAGAGGACGCCTCCTTGTTAAAGTTGTGGCATCACGTTGGGACGAGGGGTAGTAAAAATGTGACAGTGGGAATGTCCCTTATAGCCCTCCATGAGGGGCTGTTGATGAGGTGGGATGAGGAGCTGCAACGTCATTGCATTGTAGTGCCGACTGCTCTGCGGGGTAAACTTACACGGGCTGTCCACGTGAAATTAATGCACCTTGGGGTGCGTAAAACTTTGCTGACACTGAAGCATGACTTCTTTTGGCTCGGGATGATGGATGACGTGTACCACATGGTTAGGGGATGCACTTACTGCACACGCCGCAAGCCGCTGCCGAGGCAGGTCAAGCCGCCGTTACAATCCATCGCGGTGTCTCGTATTCATGAGCTGGTTGCTCTGGACATCCTAAGGAAGTTTCCCGCCACTCAGAGGAAAAATAAATTCCTCCTCATCGGGGGAATACCTGTCCTGGTGGCCGGTGGTGTGGCCTCTGCCAGATCAGTCAGCCGCATCCATTGCGGACGCATTTTTACACGGGTATGTTTTGGACAAAGGGGTCCTGGAATAAGTCTTTATGGACCAGGGGCAAGATATTTCTTCAAAATTGTTAAAGTAGGCGTGCGATTCCCTGGGTACGAAAAAAATCCGGACATCGCCCTACCATTCCCAGACGGACAGGATGGTAGAGCGTTTGCAAAGGAATCTTACGTCCATGTTGTGCCAACAGCTTCATGAGTTACAGTCGGACTGAGACGGACACATTCCAGGTGTCCTAGCCGCGTATAGGATGGTCCCTCATGCCTCAACAGGATTCTCCCCGTTTTACCTCATGTATGGGAGGGAAAGTGACCTCCCCATGGAGGCTTAGTTAGGCATGGATTTGGGCAAATAGAAGGCCGGAATGCCCATACAGGTCACGATTGGGCGACTGACAGGCACGGCATGCGTCTCGAGGGAATTCGTCTAATGACAGGCCGCGAATTAAAAACTAGGAGAGCAACGGGAGTCCGGGATGTTGTATATATGCCTTTTCCAAAAAAATATACAGGTAGTCCCCGACTTACGATGGTCCGACTTACAATATTTCGATCTTACGATGGCGATATTTGGACCATCTTTTTTGACAGGCACTATTTTTCAGTTACCGTATAGTTTCTTCTTTTTTCACACACTGGTTTTCCTGCTTTAAGTTTTACCACACATATTTGGCAAATCTAGAATTAATCCCAGCAACGTAGCAAATGTGCTGTTTTATCTACATAACAAAGGCTCAGTCCCGTTCACAGCAGCCGCACCTTTACATCAGCCGTACCTTAACAACTCTTGGAATCTCCCATTTCAACCAGTCTACACAACAATGACTCATTACTAGCAGCGGTTTCAGCCGCACCACTCTACATAACAAAGGCTCAGTCCCATTTATAGCAACCGCACCTTTACATCAGCCGCGCCTTAACAACTCTTGGAACCTCCCATTTCAACCAGTCTATACAACAGCGTGCTTCAGCCGCACCGAACCTCACAATGGCTCCTCTCACCCTCAACCAGTATATATACAAGGACTGTTTTCTTGGAATTTCTCTTACTTGATGCAGCCGTCGTGCTGTGACGGTTCCAACCTGAAGACGGAAGCTTGTGTTGCCTCCGAAACGTGATTTTTATTTTATTTTTATTTTACTTTTATTAATTTAAATGTAATTTTTTTACCTACGTGACTTTACCAAAAAAAACTAAGAATACAGACTTCAAAAGCCGCCATAAAAAAATAACAGTTCAAAGTAGCTATATCTTTAACCTCAAGATATCAAAATACAACTTGAATAAGAAGCACAGATCCCTGGTGATACAGACGGGGTACAAATATCAATAAAACACTTGGAATACCTTTAGAAACAACTATGGTATACCACAAATTTTAGTTAAGCATAAACCAAATCATAATTATGAAAGTATTAGACCTCGGGTCATTCAGAAGAGATACAATGTTAAATAGGTCAATCCCATACGACCAAGATAATATGTATTCCATAGGATCAGAGCCTCACCAACTGCCTTTGTTTTACAGCAGCTAACCCAGCACATGGTAACAGTAAATCTATGTATGCAGGGGGTCGCCTCCCCTTAATATATCAAATACCACGCTGTAAACACTGCTAATTACACCGCTCAAAACGTACTTTGAGGCACTTGCAGAGTCAAAACTGCGGAAAGTGATACGGTACCAAGCTATAAGAGGTGTCAAATATACTTTTTTAACTTCCAACACATTCACAAGAGGCCACGACTTGAAAGACTGCCTGGTGAAAAGGGGGGTACGAGCAGCATCAGCGGACAAGCTGCGAGCGGTGTCTGATGACGGGGTCATCGTGCACATTGATGGAGATGGAGCCGGGCCCATCATCATTTTGCCAGCACGAGCAACGCCGACGGTGTAAGCATCGTGCCGACTCCACAACCACCCCAGCAGTGGACAGAACCTGTCGGTGCAGCCAACATAAGGAGCGCCGTGTGTATGACACGCCCACACACACGACTCATCGCCCCAGCTGGGAACCAAGGTATTCTCGATACAAGGAATGCCTCACCTCAGAGCCTGCTTAACTCAAAGAGTTAAGCACATATTGGGATAATAACATTGCTCCAAAATGTATCTTTGTGTTTCAAAAAGGGTGGTCATCTCAAGGAGGTGCGTTAACTATTAGCTGATCGTGAAAAACATTGTTCGGTCCATTGAGTTGCATGAATATCGTCGTTTATAAGTATTTTATACTCTTTGGTACTTTCGGTAAAGTCACGTAGGTAGAAAATAATAGATCACGACGTTTCGATCGCAACACAAGCGACTGTCATCAGGTGAGACAATCACAGCAGGGAAACTGCTGAAGCAGGCGAGAGAGCTGCCGTGACAAGAGGCTATATAGGTAGGGTACGTGGGCAGGGCTAGAGATGGGAGAGAGAGGGGGGCGGGGCAGCAAGATTGGTGGTGCCCGGAGAGCTCGCCAGGGGGAGAGAGATGTTGGGGGCAGAGCAAGATCTGCGGTGGAGGTGAGCGCTCGCCAGGGGGAGAGAGAGGGGTGGGGCAGGGCAAGATCGGTGGCGGACGGGAGAGCTTGCCAGGGGGGGAGAGAGAGGGGGGGGGCAGAGCAAGATCGAAACGTCGTGATCTATTATTTTCTACCTCCGAGACTTTACCGAAATAACCAAAGAGTATGGATTCCTGCAGTCACGAAGGCTTCAAATCAAGATAGAAGTATTTTAGTCATTCGTTTTCGTTAATTGCCTAACTGCACATTAACAGGAATACAATTGTATTCAGATTTTTATTTTGATCACAGAATCTTGCCTGCGAATTCAGTGAAGCTCAATAGCCAATTGATAAGCATCTCTTAGGCAAACAGGCACACTGCAGCACACTATTGTTCCAGGACATTTCGTTGATACATAATCTTTCCAATCAATTCATTGATGTCTACTTTTGCTTTGGGCATATGTTTGTTTATCACTGTTCGTATGAATATTGTCATATTATTTTTTTAAAGACTTTTTCCTATTGCCGTGTATGGTCGCTCTACTCTAAGAAATTAGACGATTGTTCTGTTGCTCAGTTTAAGAAACGTAACCATTGAGGGTTAATTGTACCATCAATAAGTAGGACATCTCCATTGCACATTAGAGTGTTTTTAGATATTAAAGTTTCTTAACGCAGAATAGTCTGGGTGGTACCTGACTAAGTTCATGCATAATAATCGTAATTATAAGAACTGTAGCCTGCGGTGAAATCTGAATTCTGAGACCTGACATGAACACACTAAAATATTATCAGTAAAAGTTAAAGTGAGAATCATTGTATTATCACAATTGTTAATACACCCCTAGATAACGAAGCCAAGCCTAATGATCATAATTACATACACTTGCATAACTTCCTACAATTACACCTTCATTGTATTATCACAATAAGTAATACACCCCAAGACAATGTAGCCAAGCATAACTAGCATAAATATAACATTAGCATAATTACATAAATTAGCATGACTTCATAAAAAAATACACAATTTTTCATTTGTACTAAACAAAAAAATATTTTTCAAGACCTAATGTATACAACAAGGACACCATGGACCGCTGGAGACAAGGCATGGTTGCATTGTCCCCAGGTGACCCTGGGTACGTCCCCCAAATTGCACCGGCCATGGCAGGAACCTGTTGAGGTGATTGAGGTTAAGAGGCTGCAGTGCGTGCATATACAGGTCGGTCGCCGGCGCTGGTTTGTGCACCCGTCATGGTTGAAGCCCAATATTCTGCCCTGTGTTGACAGTTCATCTCCACCTCCTGAGTGCCGGGTGTCTGACGTGTCCGACGAGCTGGGGCGAGCGAGCCTGGAGGTTACGCCTCAGAAGGATTCCATTGTATTGCCCGCAGGATTCCAGCGCCTGATGCCCGCAGACCCACCGGCAGCGCCTCCGGAGGACGGACCAGGGGTGACAGACCGGTTGCCATCTTCTTCTTCTTGCCTGGAGGGGCCGCGCCCGTTAGGCCATTTGCGTATTGTCCCGGGGGTCCCCAGCATGCCAATTCTCGTCCCAGCTTGTGGTCCGGCAGCGAGGACCTCGCTCGAAATGTGTTTTGTTTCAATAACCCGCCCCTTTGCCATTATCCAAATGAGTTCCGACACCGTCTGGTGGGTGGACGCAGATACGAGCCGGGCTGTGACTTCCGGTTGACCTGGGGTCCTTCCTGATGCTCGCGGGCTGTGGCACGCCGGCGGTCGTTGGACATTGTTCACTTCCTTGTGGTTCGGGTTCGTTGTTGAGGTTTATCGCCGATAATTCGTTATTCCTCCATGTTAGCTTTGTTGCGTTAGCACATTTGTGCAGTTCCCCTCTACATAGGTGATTGATGTCAGCCGGGGCTGTTGTGTGGAGTGGGATCCCCGTCGTGCTGCTGAAGTCTTCATCACTATTCTTCTCATCGTCTTCACCATTCTTCTCGTCATCTTTACCATCCTTCTTGTCATCGTCGTCATCTTCACCATCTCGGGGCATCACCAGTCAGGCAGCCTACCAACTGTCCTGACTGAGTAATGTTTGCGACAATAGATGGCCTAATTATAGTGTGTAACATTTTTTTTGTTCCTGGGTAGTAAGTGTTATTTCCTATTTGCTTATGCCTCAAAAGTACAGAAAATGGCTATTAGTCCCCACAAACTTTGCTTTTGTGACCAGGAAAGTGATATTTTGAAATTGACCTATTTTCCAGAACATTCCAGATAGATTCAGTGCTGAGTAAACTTGGAGTAACTTCGAGAACATTCTAGAACTTTCCAGTAATATAAATAGTACTATAAATACAGGAGCCTTAAGCCCATCAGTTTAGTTCCAGCTGCCTTCGTGGATACATATCTGCATTTTTCTGAGATGTCTGCGGCCAATTTATCAAGACAAGAGCGAAAAAGTACTCTGTGGAAGCATCTGCTAAGATGTGTGAGGCCTTCGGCATGCCTGTCAGGGATCAATACAAACCCTGGGCACCTCATTTCACCTGCGAGCAATACAAAAAACTCTGGAAGGTAAGATGGACAATTGTTGCTCGGAATTTGACGTTATAAAATTTGTTATGATGAAAAAATGTTTAAAGTTTTTTTAATTTTAAAATGTTATTTCAATTTTCAATGTTGTTGAAAAAATATATCATGTATGAAAAACGTTGCGAGAATCTCTTACACATTAGTCATGGGTGAAATAAATGTATTTTGTAGGATGGTACAGAGGGGAAAAGAGAGCCATGAATTTCGCTATCCCAAGAATTTGGCGGGAACCCACTGACCACGCAAGCAACTGCTACTTCTGCATGGTGGACCCTTCCAAACGTCGGACTGGCAAGAATGCACCTACCATCACGTATTCGGACCTTCCTTCACCCATCGCCCCGGTGCCACACTGCCATGAGCTCCCCGTACCCACTCCTCCGGAGAGAGAGCAGCCGTCTTTATAAGAGAGCAGCAAGTCTGAGAGCAACGAAGACGTTGTAGATCCAGATGACAATTTCAGAAGTGGAGCTGAGGAGAGAAACCCATACTACTCCAACCAAAAATAACTCAACGACTTGATCAGATATCTTGGTCTCACCAAGTCGAATGCCGAGCTTTTGACGTCTCGGCTCAAGCAGTGGAACTTGTTTAATGAAAGTGTGCAAGTCGCAGATTAGAGGAAGCGTCACCAACCTTTTTGCAGCTTCTTCACCCGTCAAGATGGGCTCTGCTTCTGCCACAATGTGACCGGTCTGTTCGAGGCAATCGGAATCGCCTGTAACCAGAATGAGTGGCGCCTCTTCCTTGACAGCTCATCCAGGAGCCTCAAAGCCGTGCTGCTCCATAATGGTAACAAGTACCTGTCTCTTCCCCTAGCTCACTCGATGCACCTCAAAGAGGATTACAACAGCATTAAGACCTTGCTGGATCCCTTGAAGTATGATGAGTACGGCTGGGTGGTCATCGGAGACTTCAAAATGGTGGCATTCCTGGTGGGTCTCCAAGTCGGTTTTACCAAGTTTCCCTGCTATCTTTGCCTTTGGGACAGCAGGCACACCAAGGCGCATTACCACAGGCGGGACTGGCCACAGCGGACCGAGTTCTCTGTGGGGGGAAACAACGTCAAGTGGGAGCCACCGGTGGATCCCCGGAAGGTGCTGATGCCACCACTGCACATCAAATTGGGCATTATGAAACAATTTGTCAGAGCTGTAGATAAGGAGTTGGCAGCCATTAAGTAGCTTCAAGACTTCTTCTCTAAGCTGTCTGAGGCAAAGGTCAAAGCAGGTGTCTTCGTCGGACCACAGAAAAAGTAAGATCCTGGAGTGCAATGAATTCCCCAAGAAGCTCACTAGTAAGGAGAAAGAGGCTTGGAACAGCTTTGTCGCAGTGGTTCGTGGCTTCCTGGGCAATCACATGGTCAAAAAGTATGTGGAGCTGGTTGAGCCTCTGGTGAAGAACTACGGCACAATGGGCTGTAGGATGTCCCTCAAAGTCCATATCATTGATGCTTAGCTTGATAAATTCAAGAAAATGGGAGCGTACTCTGAGGAGCAAGGCGAGCGCTTCCACTGGGATATACTGGACTTTGAATGCCGATACCAAGGATAGTATAACGAGAACATGATGGGAGACTACATTTGGGGACTGATTCGTGAAAGTGATTTACAGTATAATCGTAAATCTCGAAAAACTACTCACTTCTAAATCTTTTGTAGTAATTTTTGTATTACTTTAGTATAAATACATGTTAATTTTGATTCATATGTTGTTGTTTTTTTACTTTATGTTAATGAAAAGACACAAATTTGCCTGTTTTCTCATTGAAAATATGTACATTTCAAAATAGCACTATCCTGGTCACAAAAGCAAAGTTTGTGGAGAATAATAGCCATTTTATATACTTTTTAGGCATAAGCAATTCCGAAATAACACTTACTACCTAGGAACAAAAAATGTTACATAGTGTTATAAAGTGTTATTTAACCCGATGGTACTTGTTAATAAAGACGTGCCTCCAACTCTTATCATTTCCGAGTTAGTCACTACACATGCTACAACTTGCTAATGTTTTTGCCAGACGTCCCGTAAAGTAGTGAGATGCTTGCACATGGTGATCTAATGACATAATCTGATAGAGTATGGTGCTGAGGCTCTTTCGATGAGTAGAAAGCTGAATCCTAGAGTCTGCGACCGCAACACCTGATCCTCTCACACATTTTTTCGCCTGAGCCGGAGTTCCAACCAGCAGAACCTCCGATTTCCTGGATTAGGCAGCATTTCGTTTCATGCAAACTATCCGAGCACAGCTCGAGTACAATCTTCAAGGTTATCGAGGCTCTCCATATCTAATTTTAACGTCACTGCAGTGTACAATTGTGTATCATCAGAATATTAATGGAACTTGATATCATGTGTAATAAAAGGACTCAGACACTTCTTTCTGTCTTCGTGTCCTTTATTGGGTTCTTGTCTTCTCCCACACGGCACTCTGTGATAACACTGTATTTGTAGCCCCCGGCTGTTGACTCTCTTTTATAGCTTCCTTTCTCTTCCCGCAGACTCTCTGCTTCATCTACCGTAACCTCCGTTCTCTCCCTGCAGACTCGCTGCTACCCCTTTATGCAGACCCTCTTGGCTGCTACTGTATGCAGACCCGCTGCTGACTCTGTATGCAGCCCCGCTGCTGACTCTCTATGCAGCCCCGCTGCTGACTGCAGCCTCCTCGCTGCTTCGGGTCGGTCACCGCTGGCCAACGGTGCCGCTCCTCGCTCCCCCGTGTTCGTGGCGATCTCGCCACCCTCTGCTTCGCCCTTCGTGGCCTCTCCCTGTTCCTGGTTCCCCGTCACTCCCTCTCCTCTTCCGGTTCCCCTCCTTCTATAGCTTAACCCCTCTCCCCCCACGTGACCTAACTCCTCCCCTCATGACGTCACCTCCGGAGGGCCGTTTACGCCCGCATTACATCACCCTCCCCCATAAAGAAAATCCAGCCGACCTCGGCTGAATTGCAACCTGACAAGCAATGCGGGTGTAAAGGACCAACACGTAAAAAGACACGAAGCATGCAACAACAATATAACAAGAACACAACACAACACAATTTTAACGAAACGTGAGGGATTTCGAGCGAGTACGGGTAGCCGGGCCGTCCCGGACGGTCGGCAGCCCACCCGCTGAGCGGGAACGTGGAAGGGTTTTAAGGGCGACGGGAGCGAGTTCATCCGTCGCCATTGGAGGCCCGCCACTGTCCTGGTCGCGTCCAGAGACATCCCGTAATCGCGTCCGCGGAGGGATAGGAAGAGCTGCAGGTCCCGTAGGTTCTGCGGCTCCGGTCGGCATCCCACGAGCGGAACGTCCTCCTCCCTGCGGCGTCACGGCCGGCTTGTCTGTGAAGGGTACGACAGGCGCTCTCGCAAGGTCAGCAGACACAGGCAAGGGCGAGTCGGCAGCAACAGACCCCGGCAAGGCAACTTCGGGAGATGACGCATCCGGCCGCGGGGCAATGTATGGCTTCAACCGGGATGTATGCACGAACCAGCGCCGCGAACCAACCTGAACACGCGCCGACTGTGGGTTGGGAACCTCAATGAGGCGGACCGGACCTTGCCACGGTTTATGTAATTTAGGAGAGGTACCTGGCCGCACCTGCGGGCAATGAAGCCAGGCCAGGTCCCCCTTTTTCCAGGGGCACTCCCCCTTCGAACGTCGGGCACACCGCTCATTCCTGGCCTGGGCTTTGGCTGTAGCCATGCGGGCTCTTTCCCTCGCCTCAGTGACACGGCGAACGTTGTCCTGAATATACTCAGGAAGAGGCTTAACAGGTCCCCTCGCACCGGTTCCCAACTGCTCATTAATCGGCGGCACATTTTCACGGCCGTACATAAGAAAGAACGGCGAGTATCCAGTATCCGCGTGCGGCGTCATGCGATACGCCGAAAGCACCCCAGGGATATGCAAATCCCAATCAGATTGATTTTCCCCGACTGTATGGCACAGCATGGCGGACAGAGTCCGATTCAACCGTTCCACCATACCATCCGTTTGTGGGTGGTAGGGGGATGTCCGTATCTTTTTAGTTCCAAGAGCCGCACACACCTCCCCCAACAATTTGGATGAAAAGTTACGCCCTTGATCTGTAAGGAGCCTTTCCGGCGCCCCCTTGTCCATTACATACCCAAATAGAAAGGCGTCAGTGATAGACGCCGCTGACTGGTCAGGCAAAGGCCAGGCCATCGGCCAGCGGGAGAGGTACTCCACCCCCACCAGTAAATACTTATTTCCCTTAGCGGATGGCGGAAAGGGTCCCAAAATATCTAACGCCACCAGCTCATTAACCCGAGATACTTGAATCGATTGTATCGGCGGAACATATGGATGTTTAGGCGGCTTACGGCGGGCACAATCGGGACACGCGCGAACGTGACCGACGACATCTGTCGTCATGCCGTGCCAATAATAGTCTCGTTGCAGCGTCAATAGGGTTTTCTGCACCCCCAGATGTAAAAGTGTGTCACAGTGCAAAGATCTGATCAACTCGTACCGCAATGACGCAGGTACAACGAGACGCCAGTGTTCCTGTATCCCTTCCCTCCACATCAGCAACCCATCACGGAGAGCAGTTTCCGAAATACCACCCGCACCGAGTTCCTTACCCGCCTTCTCCGTTCGTTTTCGTAACGACACCAAAGAATCGTCCAACATTTGCTCCCGAATCCACACAGACCTCGGAAGACGCAAAATCCCGTCAGTCGGTCCCCCATCAACCGGTCCCGGTGTAAGCAGAGTTTCGAGAACATCCACCGCCAGCGTGACAGGCTGAGGGGGGAGCTGCATCGGTCCACACCTATGCGTCCCCGACGCACACGCACAAGGGGATTGTTGCGGCAACCTGGAAAGTGCGTCCGCGTTAGCGTGACGCACACCCTTCCGATGGTGAATTTGGAAGGAAAATTCTTGCAGCGTGTCCAGCCACCTCGCCAATTGTCCGGATGGCTGGTCCATCTTAAGAGCATACTGCAAGGCCGCATGGTCCGTGCGAACAATAAACGACCGACCGTACAGATACGGTCGAAATTGGCGGAGAAAAAAAACAATGGCCAAAAGTTCCCTGCGAGTGACGCAGTAACGGGTTTCCGCGGGAGACAAAACTCGACTCCCATACGCCACCACACGCTCAACACCACCTTTTGACTGGGACAACACCGCCCCAATACCAGTGTCACTCGCATCAGTATCCAGAATGAAGGGATGTTCAAAATCCGGATAATCCAACGTCGGTGCAGTAGCCAGTAAATCGCGCAGGCTCCGAAACGCCGCCTCCTCCGGCGGTCCCCACACAAATTTATGCCCCTTCCCAGTAAGGAGATGCAAAGGCCTGGCGATAGTAGCGAAATTCGGAACAAACCTCCGATAATATGAGGCGAACCCCAAAAACCGACGCACATCACCCACCGTGGCCGGGGTTGCCCAATCCCGGACACACGCAGTTTTCTCTGGATCCGTGGCCACCCCGTCCGCACTAACAATATGTCCCAAGTATCGAACGGAGCGTTGCAGTAGGTGACATTTCTTAGGCTTGAATTTCAATTTAGCAGAACGCATTCTGGCGAATACAGCCTCCAATCGCAGTAAATGCTCATCAAATGTGCGGCTGAAGACAATAATATCATCTAAATAAATGAGACATGTCTCCCACTGCAACCCCGTCAATACCAACTCCATCAACCTCTGAAAAGTGGCAGGGGCAGCATTCAACCCCATCGGAAGACAGTTAAATTGGAATAACCCCTGCGGCGTACGGAAAGCTGTCTTTTCTCGCGAGGGCTCGTCAAGGGGGAGCTGCCAGAAGCCCGAAGAGAGATCTAGCGTTGAAAAAAACTTAGCCCCTGACAAGGCGTCGAGAGAATCGTCCATACGCGGCAGGGGATACGCATCTGCCACCGACACTTTATTCAACTTCCGAAAATCCACACAAAATCGCAATTTACCATCCTTCTTTTTAACCAACACAACAGGCGCGCCCCACGGGCTATTAGACGGAGATATAATATCCGCTTTCAACATGTCTTCCACTGCCCCTCGAACATGCTCACGCTCAGCCGGACTCATCCGACGCGAGTTCAAACGGATAGGGGCAGCGTCCCCCGTGTCGATATGATGAGAGAGCAGCGAGGTGCGTCCCAAGTCCAAATCGTCCGAGCTAAACACATCGGAATAGCTCGATAATAATTTATGAATCGCACAACGCTGCTCGGCGGAAAGGGCCGAATTTTCCCCACATAATTCGGCGATCCAACGATCATCAACCCCTCCATCGTGTGAAACACCACCCACCAGCCCCCCGTCCGGCAGGTCACTCTGAGCCGTAAACGCCGTAGTGGCATGTGCCACAACGGTACCAGCCGGCACACACACGCTTTCAGTACTCGCATTTAACACCTGCAAAAACGGGCGCTGATCTGGACGGACAATAGTTTGCGCCCCTACCAGCGCCAAGCCGCCCGTAACTGCGGCGGACGGCGACAGCAAAATCCCAAAAGCACCCTGCCGACCCGGAACCGGCTTCCGGTATCGTAAGGGAATGAGCATCTGCGAGCCAGGTGGAATATCAACCGAAACTTCCGATAGCGCCTGCACCTGGGCGACAGGAGCCGGTCGCCCCCAGGCGGACTGTAAAAATGCCAATTTCCGGCCCCCCGGTAGTTCTATGCAATTTTCTTTGATTCTAATTAGAATGCGCATCTTAGCCAAAAAATCCGTACCCAACAGGCAAGGAACCGCCAGGGACCTCGAAATCAACACAACGCCCGAGGCCGAGACACCCCCGATAGAAATGTTAGCGTCCACCTGTCCCACGATGCCCATACTACCCCCGTTCGCAGCGATGCAGGAAGCGTAAGCCGGCCTCACGGCCCCCGGTGGGATGTTCAAAAGATGGAATATCACATCCGAAATAATGGTCGCGGACGCACCGGAATCCACCAAAATACGTACGTCCACCCCTTGGATGGACCCAGGTACAGTGG